AAAAAAAAAAAAAAAAACGAAAAATACGTGCGAACATGACCGTTGCAAAGTAACAAACACACAAGAAAGACATGCTCGATCGTGGTTACCTAGGAAATTCGTTACGTTGTTCTGATCTTTTCAGAAACTTTTTACTGATATTTGCGTTGCATTGCTACGTGCTGGCTCCGCTTTAGTGTAAATCCGCTATAGTATAAATCCGTCTAAAACCTCTTCAAAATTTGAACATGCTCAAAAACACACCCATCAAACGCGTAGTCAGCTTGTCAGAGCTAGTGTAAGGCGCGCTCTAGCTGTAAAAAGTCTGTTTCTCAGGATACTCAACAGTATACTATACTATACTCATTTTTCCAAATTTTGAAAAAAAAAAGGCATGTTTTGCCACGTGCTTACTTTCATCAAATTTTCCAAAAGACAACACAAAAGATGTAATCGGAGCCATGTTTATCCTGTGCTCAATTTAGCAACGTAATTAGCTAAAGAGAGCTGTTCCGAATCATGCGTTCGGAAGGCGATAAAAAGTCACTACAGAAGGTCCGTACATTGTAGTTTTGATTTTAAATATACCGCATTCTTCTACGGTGTAAAATATAAATTAAAGGACAAACTGTTATGCATTCGCTCCGTTTAATGTCTTTAATGGTCTCCAATTGTTTAGGTATGCCACTTGCGAGTCAAAATCCTCTTCAGAGAGGAATACTTTCTTAGTTTCTCGCAACCGTGAAATACATCTGGATTCTCTTCTGGTGATTGATCCGTTGGAAATTCAGACCAATTTTCCCCGTATAGGGACACTAAGACCTGTTTCCAATTGTTCTGGACATTTAACGGGAACCCTTCGAATTCCATTTGCTTCAAGGGGTACATCGCGGATTTTTCCACATTAGGTACAATAAACATGTCGACCATCAGACCGTCGTGCCATTTGCAGCCGTAAGCGATACAATATTTATAACAACTGTTTCTATCTCTAAGTCTTGGGTTCCACGTCACTTCATATATACCAACTATTTCATGGTTGTCGAAACCGCTCGCATCATTCGGTTTCAACGCGGGATCACTAATGCTGTTTTGAAAGAAAATGTCGTCCGGTAGCTCCCTCGCTGCTACCTGGAAAAATTTCACGTAGTCGTCTAAAGGCATTTCAATATCAGCATCCCCATCCCATGGGATAAATCCATGATGTCTCGCAGCCCCGAGAAGAGTCCCACGGGCAATCCAGTAGTTGATTTTGTACTTCCGAGCGAGGAGGTCGAAGATGCGTAACATTCGTGTCTGAACGAGTTGTGCCTGCCGAGGAGTGAATCGCGCATATTTACGAATATCTGGGCAATCAAATGTTCCCTTGACCAAGTCGCATCTTCCTCCAAGTTCTGTGTATAGCTTGGGGCACATTTTACCCCATGTGAAGTCAACATTGCAATGTTTAAATGTGCGTTTTGGATTAACATAATAGTTCTTCGATCTGTTGGTCACATAGGTTACTACTGTTGCATCCGGTGTAGTAGTGGACGTGCGCTTCGCATTGTTCGATTTCGAGAGTGACACTGAATCGATTTGGAAGAAGAAGGTCATTAGAAAGATTACAGCGACCATCAGTAGACTGCACAAGAGGAATACGGCAGCTTTCCTCATTGCTCTTTAGACCATTAATGCCAAGTTCGTTCTTTGACCGTTGCGTTACACTGTCCGCACGCGAATGTCCAAAGTTGAGGCGGATCATATTTCAAGAGCGATATATA